CTGACGCTTTGTTTCTCATCAGTGTATACATGAAGCTGTCCGGTCTCAAACTCCCATAATTCCCCAGCCCGCTTTTGCTGGCTGGGGAATGCTGGGAGTTGAAGTCCGGACATCTTCAAGTTGCCAAGGTTGAGAAACACTGCGTTAGAAACATCTGGAAGCCGAAAGGTGGGGCACTGTGGGAGGTGCAGGCGTGGCTTTCTCAGCCCACCAGAGCCCACCTGGGGCGGTTAGCCAAGCCTTCGGTGCCCCAGGCAGGGCGTCCCCCCCCCTCCCGCAGCTGAACGCCCTCCTCTCCCTCCGGAACAGCTGAGCGAAGAGAAGAACCTGCTTCAGGAGCAGCTGCAGGCCGAGACCGAGCTCTATGCGGAGGCCGAGGAGATGCGGATCCGCCTGGCTGCCAAGAAGCAGGAGCTGGAGGAGATCCTGCACGAGATGGAGGCCCGGATCGAGGAGGAAGAGGAGCGTGGGCAGCAGCTGCAGACCGAGAAGAAGAAGCTGCAGCAGCAGATGCTGGTACCCGGGCGGGGTTGGCAGCCGGAGGGCAGCCCCAGTCGGGCCCTTTGCCTTGAGCCTCGCCCGCTGGCTCTTCCAGGGGTTTCAGAGAAAAATGGCTTTCCTGGGCGCAGAGGCTCCAGCCCCACCGGAGGGCTGGGAGGGGAACCAGGGAAAAGCCACTCCGAGCCATGCTGGCACGGTTTCTCCTAAGATTCACCTCCGCGAGGACTAGCAGCTTGTAGGGAAGTGGAGGAGCCTAAATTCTGCCTGCTGTGTGTAAGGCCGAGTCGGAGAGGCCGGAGACGGCTCAGCTGGGAGCTCCCAGGGCTTCCCAGGGAAGAAGCCGAAGGAGGCTTTAGGGGCAGGAGCTTTGAGTGGCCATTGGGCCCGTCCCCACCTCACTTCTTCTCCCCATTCTTGTGACCCCAAAGGACCTGGAGGACCAGCTGGAGGAGGAAGAAGCTGCGAGGCAGAAGCTGCAGCTGGAGAAGGTCACTGCGGAAGGCAAAATCAAGAAGATGGAGGACGACATCTCGGTCTTGGAAGACCATAACAGCAAGCTCTCCAAGGTCAGTCCCCTTTCCCCCTCCCCTTGGGCTCCGGGGCCAGGGAAACGAGGAGGGGGACCCCTCCCTGCCCCCTCCCGTGCAGGCCGGCCCAGGGGGCAGCTGGGGGGGGGGGGCGCCAGTTCTGCAGTGAGGCTATTTTGCCTCCGATGGGTCGGTCACCCAGGACGCATCTGGGAGACAGGCAAAACCTCTCGGTCCTGGCTGGGGGAGCCATTTCAGTGGTTGCCCAGGCCCCGTGGGCACCCCAAGTGCCACCTCCTCCTCCTCCTGCTCCAGGCTTCAGGGAAGGTGTCTTTCCGCCTCTCTCCCCCCCCCAGGAAAGGAAGCTCCTGGAGGAAAGAGTCAGCGATTTGACGACAAACCTGGCTGAGGAGGAGGAGAAAGCCAAGAACTTGACCAAGCTGAAGAACAAGCACGAGTCCATGATTTCGGAACTGGAAGTCCGGCTGAAGAAGGAAGAGAAATGCCGGCAAGAACTGGAGAAAATGAAGAGGAAGCTGGAGGGGGACTCGAGCGACTTCCACGAACAGATCGCTGACCTGCAGGCCCAGATTGCTGAGCTGAAAATGCAGCTGGCCAAGAAGGAGGAGGAGCTGCAAGCAGCCTTGGCCAGGTGGGGCTCTCTCTCCTCCCCCACCCCCCGGGTCAGCTCTCCTGGATGGCCGGGAGCCTCGGGACGGTGAAGGGGCCAGGTGGCCTCCAGGGGACTGGAGTGCAGAGGACGCCCTTGGCCGCTGGTCTTCCAGGGCCGTGGCATTCCAGAGCCACGTCCACCTGGCCAGCTGCCCCCTCCGGCCCTTCTGCACGTGGGGATCCCTCAATGCCCCCCCAGACAAGACCAGCATTTCCGCATCAAGCCGGCTGGCCTTGTGGGTTGAATCTCCTCTCTGCTCCCGTCACCCAGGTTGGAAGATGAGATCAGCCAGAAGAACAACGCGCTGAAAAAGATCCGGGAGCTGGAAGCCCACATCTCGGACCTGCAGGAGGACCTGGACTCTGAACGGGCCGCACGCAACAAGGCCGAGAAGCAGAAGCGGGACCTGGGCGAGGAGCTGGAGGCCCTCAAGACGGAGCTGGAAGACACCTTGGACAGCACGGCCACCCAGCAGGAGCTCAGGTGGAGCGGGGGAGCCCAGGGAGGGGCTGGGCGGGAAGGGGGGGCGGTCAGGGGAGGATGGAGGGGCTTCATGCTCCTTTGTGCTGGGGCTCAGGGCGAAGAGGGAGCAGGAGGTGACGGTCCTGAAGCGAGCGCTGGAGGAGGAGACGCGAGCCCACGAGGCCCAGGTGCAGGAGATGCGCCAGAGGCACACGCAGGCCGTGGAGGAGCTGGCTGAGCAGCTGGAGCAGTTCAAGCGGGTAACCCCAGACGGGCGGAAGCGGGAGGGGCCCCCCGCCACAGAGACCCTGCCCGGCCGTCCCCCTGCCCGGCTGAGCCTCTCTGATGCTTCCAGGCCAAGGCCAACCTGGACAAGACCAAGCAGACGCTGGAGAAGGGCAACGCGGACCTGAGCAACGAGATCCGGTCGCTCAACCAGGCCAAGCAGGAGGTGGAGAACAAGAAGAAGAAGCTGGAGGGGCAGGTCCAGGAGCTGCAGGCCAGGTTTGCCGATGGGGAGAGAGTCCGGACGGAGCTCAACGAGAAAGTCCACAAACTGCAGGTAACTCCGGAGTGGGGCGGGGTGGTGGTGACGAAAACAGCCAGCCGGGGAAGGGCCCGGACTCCCGACCGGCCGCTGAGCCTTCCTTGTCCATGGCGGGTGGGAGGCAGAGCCGGGGTTCCATGGTGCTCTGCCTTCCGTGGGGTCAGCTCAGAAGGGAGTCCCCTTCAGCCCAGATCCCACCAACCTCCTGGCTCCCCTTTCCTGTCGGGGCTGCTTCCCCAGCGCAGGTGGGGCTGGTGGCTGCAGGAGAGGGGCTGAATGGCAGAGAGGCCTCCGCTGCTGAGGAAGGGGCCCCTCCTCCCTCCCCAGCCACCAGCCTGGATCCGCCTGCTGCTCTCCTTCTTCCGAGTGGCCGTTTCCTAGAAAGGCAGGCGATCCGTGCTGGGAATCGAGTGCAAGGCAGATCAACCCTCCTGATGCCGTTTCCGTTTCTAGGCAGAGGCGGAAAGCATGGCGGTCCTCCTGAACGAAGCCGAGGGCAAGAGCATCAAGCTGACCAAAGACGTGGTGACTCTCAGCTCCCAGCTGCAGGACACGCAGGTGGGTGCTTTGTGGGCCCCCCGATCTGGGGAAGGCTGAGGTGGGTCTTTGGGAAGGGGCTCACCCAGGACCGTCCCGCCATCCAGGAGCTGCTGCAGGAGGAAACGCGGCAGAAGCTCAACCTCTCCACCAAGCTTCGGCAAATGGAGGACGAGAAGAACGGCCTGCAGGAGCAGCTGGAGGAAGAGCTGGAAGCCAAGCAGAACCTGGAGAGGCAGGTGGCAACCTTAAACGTGCAGGTAGGAGCAGTTGTGACCCTCGCACAGTTCTTGTAAGGCTGGTTGGGGTTTATGGCTGTGTCAGGCCCACCGCAAGTGGTCGTTCAGCCCAACAACCGCAACATTAGGAGCGGTGGGTGAAGTCTTCCCTGGGTCCCGCTATCTGGCTGTCCATTGGGGGCATTCAAATGCCTGTCAGTGTTCCAAAACATGGGGCCATCCCTTTGGTTGCAATTGGCCCGAGAGAAGATGCAAAACGGGGGGTGGGCCCACGCTGCCCAGGAATGAGAGACCCTCCCCTGCTGGCCTTTAAAGATGGGGGCTGCCCGGTTGAACAGACTCGAGGAGTCCTCCTGCCTCTGTCTCCGGATGCCCCCTGCAGCTCTCGGACTCCAAGAGGAAGACGCAGGAGTATCTTGGCACCATCGAAGCCATGGAGGAAGGCAAGAAGAGGCTCCAGAAGGAGGTCGAGGGCCTCACCCAGCAGTTTGAGGAAAAAGCGGCTTCATACGACAAACTGGAAAAAACCAAGAACCGGCTGCAGCAGGAGCTGGACGACCTCGTGGTTGACCTGGACAACCAACGTCAGATGGTTTCCAACCTGGAGAAGAAGCAGAAGAAATTTGACCAGGTGAGAGTGATCGAACACCTTCCCCCCCCAAGCTCTGTTCCAGGGCAACTGGACATTCCACGGACGCAATTGTTGACCTGTGGTCCACTACATGAACACATATGTTGCATTCGTATAAGGGTTTTTGTAAATTAGCATGTCCATCAAAGCAGTTTTAGTAATGTTAATGTTCCACCCAGTCACCTGAATTGTGTAGGCAGGTAAGAGGAATTCCAGGGGGGGGGGCTGCTCCTTGGGCTTCCTTCAAACGGCTCCCAACGCCTGCTCTGCCTTCGTAGATGCTTGCGGAGGAGAAGAACATCTCTTCCAAATATGCCGAGGAACGAGACCGAGCAGAAGCCGAGGCCAGAGAGAAGGAGACCAAAGCACTCTCACTGGCCCGAGCTCTGGAGGAGGCCCTGGAGGCCAAGGACGAGCTGGAGAGGACCAACAAATTGCTGAGAGCAGAGATGGAAGACCTCGTGAGCTCCAAGGACGATGTTGGCAAAAACGTAAGTCCCTTCTCCCTTCTTCCTTCTTCCTTCTTCCTTCTTCCTTCTTCCTTCTTCCTCCTCCT